GCGAGGCCGTGGTCGATATACCAAAATGGACGAACTCGCGGCCGAGGACGACGCGGTGGAGGAGCTCAGTCCTCGTCGGAGCTGACGAGATCAATGAACTTCGACCTCTGCTCCTCGCGGATGTGCCGCCACTCATCATCCTTCTCCTTCGCGGCAAGTTTGGCCGCGACTGCCTGCCGGAGGATGAGGTTGTCGACCTCGTCGTCGTGGCGCCGGCGCTCCGCCTCCTAGCACAAGCTCCGCTCGGCAATGGCTGCCGCGACTGCGTCAAAATCAGCCGTGAAATATCCGGGCCTGACGACACCTCGGCGCTCGATCTCCTTCGGCTCCTGCTTGACGAAGACGATCTCGATCTCCTCCGGCTCCTCCGACCACTCCCTCTTCACGGGGAGAAACCTTGCGCCGGAAGAGGAAGAGCTCGCGGCGTGTGAAGATCTCGCGGTGGAGGACGAGCCCGCGGCCGAGGAGCGCGTACGCCCGTGCCGACAATCGTATTCCCCCGTCTCACGGACGAGGAAGCTCGGCGGCGGCGAGAGGCCCCTGTTCGTCCACTTCCTCACCCCGCGCTTCCTCGCGTCGTCCGAGCGGACACACCGCTCGCGCTCGGGGTCGTCGCCCCCGCCGGAGCTGCTCCCGGAGCCGCGACTGGAGCTCCACATGTGGCCCCACATGACGGCTGGAGGCGGAAGGGGCTCGCCGGCGGCGAGAAATGTGAGGAGGGGAGTGGGGAATTGCGGAGAGACGCGGAGGGCGGGGGATAGGGTTTCGACCTGCATATCCACCGCGAACCCGTAGATATACTGCAGGGGAAGGGGGAGGGGTTGCGGGCCGCGATATTTTTTTTTACAGGCCATGCGAGTACACATGCTCTATTCTGATCAGAAAATTGGGCCGAGCCCGTATACTCGTTGAAATTTTGCGGGTTTGCGAGTTTTGCGTTGTTGCTAAAGTTGCTCTTAGAGGGTGTACTAATCAAGTCGTAATCAAGCGTGCCCTTGGCTGACAGGACTGCCTCACCTCACCAGATAAGCACGTGCAGTAGCAGTATTGCGACCGGAGCACCACAGCACACACTTCCTACACGCCGCGCGCGGTTCGACCCAATCCGATTAATCCAATCGAATGTACTTTAATTTGGATCGGAGAGCGTAGTACTTCCTTCATCTAATAGTATAAAAACTTTTTTGATATTAGTATAGTGTGAAAAATGTTTTTATATTATGAAACGGAGGGAGTAATAATCAGCGACGGTTATTATGATTTGGAGGGAGTACATGTATTAGGGGTCAGGAGCAGAGCAGTGGGAGCAGACGTGAGTAGCTGCATTGCATATTCTTCTCAACTCAGCTTGGCTATGCAAATGTAGCCTCAAATGCACCATCTGCAAGTTGTTTAGTTGTCTGCATGCCCTCTTGCCTGTATGGGCAGAACCACACTGCATGGTGTTTGGTTGCATGCATGTTAATGGACAAACCCAAAGCGTGGTGTTTGGTTGTATGCAACGCTTGGTGTGTGGTAACCTCTTTGGCTAGTTGGTGAGGTTACCAGCACACTTCGGCACAGCCATGTATCACGCATCATAAGCAGAGCAGAGATAAGCAGATCATCAACTACTTAACAACATAGTTCAGATAACATAGTACCACACATCATAACGATAGTTCAAACAGTTCAACGCATAAACCATAAAGCAGACTCGATAGTACTTAGGAAGGAGGTGCCCTGGCCCTAGTCCTTGGCGGCGAAGGCTTTGTTGTGCTTCCCGCACTTGTTGACCACCTCAATGCCATCGTCGTCGAAGATGATGACCTTGAGGGTGTCGGGAGTGAGGAGGTTGAACGTCACCATGTAGCCGATCTTGATCTGATGAACGACGGCGTAGGTAGCCCAACCCTGATCCTGGGTCACCATGCCGTTCATTAGCTTCACCGTCACCCTCCAGGAGCACCCGGTGTTGTTCCTCTGCTTGAACTCCGTCGGCACCGCGACGAAGTGCTTGGTGAAGTCCAGGGGCATGGGTATGCTCTCAAGTTTCGGTGCAAGGATGACCTTGTAGAAGTGAGTTGGGCCACCCTCCTCATGGTAGTGGCCATAGTTGTAGCGCTTGATGCTGGGGGGATCCTCCATGCGCTCGTCGTCGCCAACCGTTGGCGTCTTCGGATCTTCCTCGGCGGTGGGCGGCAACACCACCTCAGGCATTGGATGAACCGGCTCCTTGCCCTTGTTGTTAACGGCTGGGAGCACCTCCGTGCCCATCTCGTTGCTCTCCTCGATCTGCAAACAATTCATGGAGTCAGGCACAACACAAAGTTCATGGCTTATTGAAGAGCATGCAGTTAAAATGGCATGACTGTCACTCTTCCTCCTCTCCATCGCACCTATATTTACTCACCCTGCCCACCACTACTTACCCACCCCTCTCTTCTCTCACTATCAACCTTCCTCCTCTCCATCGCCATGAGCTCCAGCTCCAGCTCCAACGCCAACCCCTTCCCTTGGGGTATTGGCTGGAGGGCCTTCTTCCTCGGGTAGTCGGCTGGTAACCGCACCAAGTTCGAGAACACCATGGAGATGTGCTCGAACTTCGGCTCCATGCCTAACATGTAGAAGGAATCTGATGTAGTGCTTATGAGGGCCACTACACAAGAGTTGAAGATGTTGATTCCTGACCCAGCAAAGGGCGCGATGGCAGTCGACATCATTCATTGGGCCATGAATCATGCCGTCTTCGATGACGCAAAATAGAGGAAGAAGTGGTCCAAGTACAATAACTACCGGGCTCCTAATGACCGTCGTGCCGCAGTGTACTAGGACGACAATCGTGCCGTCGGCGGTCATCGGTGTGGGGAGCCTAAGGAGGAGGAAGAACCGGTGCAGATGCCAGTGAGAGTGCCGGAGCCAGGAC